GGCAGTGCTGGTGGCAGCCTGCAGCAGCCTCTCCTGGCTGCTGAGCTGAGCTCCCCACCTTCTCTGCAGCCTGCCTGCGGCCATAGCCTTCGGCATGTGCTGCAGCTGCCTGTTAGCCCAGCGTGTCCTGTCCCCAGCCCTGTCTGTCTGTCAGGTCGGGATTGACCCAAGGCATCACAGCAGGGTACACAAGGCTTATTGCTAGCAGTGTTCCCCTCCCGTAGCCAGGACTTCTGATATTCTTACTCTAAGCGTTGGGGAACCTTTCTCATCCCTCTCGCCATTTTCTCTGATCTCTCAGACAGGAGTATCCTGTCATTTCTTGGTGCCCCTATTCAGTGCTTTGCCTTTTGTTCTGCAGCAACCGGGTGTTCACAGAAGGGACCTGTAAGTTGCTCAACTTGGTGGTCACTGACTTGGTGGATGAGGATCTAGTCCTGAACCGTAGGAAGCAGGCGGCCTCAGCGCTGCTCTTTGGGATGGTGGCTCTGGTCACCAAGCCAGGCCAGACCTTCGCACCTCTGATTGGCACCTGGCTGCTCTGCGCGTACACAGGTAAGGCTCCTGAGGGAGGCATCGGGGGCAGGAGAGGGCAGACCTGTGAGTTCAGTGTCCTCCACTGTGTTCCGTGCCCTGGGTGGGTGCAGAGAGCTCTTCATTTGCTAAGCTGTGCCTGCTCTCTGCATCTCCAGAGCCAATCACTCGGAGAGAATGGACAAGTGTCCATCCCCACTGTCCCCAGTCTCACAAACTCTTCTCTGACACCAGGCTATGACATCTTCCAGCGCAACCCCTTGAGCAACATGATGAGTGCCCAGCCGAAGCTGGAGTCCGCTGCAGCCTTAGAGCCAACTCTTCGCCAGGGCTGCTTTTACCTCCTCGTCTTTGTACCCATCACGTGTGCTCTGCTGCAGCTCCTCAGCTGGTCACAGTTCAGTTTGCATGGGAAACGTCTGCAGATGGTGAAGGCTCAGCGCCAAAGCCTGACGCAAGGCCGAACGCCAGAGATCAAAACTATCTAGGGGTGTCTGCGCCCCTGGGGTGTTGCTGGTTCCAGGCTGGTGCGGGACGGCAGGCGAAGCACAGGAACAGTGGGCTGAGCAACCCCCAAGTTTACGGTTCAACTGTGAAATGCTGTAATGCCAATGTTTACTCATTCCGGGAGGTGGTCGCTAGGAAAGGCAGAGAAGTTCAGTGTGCGAGGGGCCTGGGATAGATCGCTTGGCCACAGGAGCAAGAGCACTTTACCCTGGCCTGTCCCAGGGAGCAGGGGGCTGCTCATCCCAGCAGGGAGGTGCTGGGCTGCAGTGTGTGCTGGGGACAGCCACGTCTCCAGTGCAGTCCTCTGACCTGGTCATGGCCCTGGGGAACTGCAGCCTCTCCGGCTGAGCAGGAGGGGACCGCATAGGGACACCTTCCTTGCTAGAGCCCTGCAGCTTTGGGGAGTGGAGTGGGAGGCTCCCGAGGGACCGAGTGACCAAGGAGGTGATTTCAGGACAGCAGGAGCAGGGATGGGAGGACCCTGAAGGCCTTTCCCAGTAGCTGGTACAACCTGTCCCACATACAGTGCTGCGGTTCTTGGACCAAATCCGTTCTTAGGCATTTCTTGTTCCCAGGACAATATCCTGCACAGCCAGCGTCTGCCGGCTCTGCTTGTTTTATGCTGAGGCTCCCTTCTCCGTGGCCTTGCAGAAGGAGTTGTTGCTGGGCTGGGAAAGGTGCTGGGCTTGAACTCAGCTTGGAGCCTTGAGCTGGAACATCTCATCTGGCATCCCATTGCCTGTGTTTATCCGTCCTCTCCCCTCCACAGCCCCTTCCCATCAGCGCTGTCCCACAGCTGTACTGTGAGCCCCCTCCACAGTGGCTGGGGCTGTGGTCAGGGAACCAACCCCTAACCCAGACGTGTGAGGTGCCTCCCTGCCCAGGGCTGTCCCAGGTGACCCAGTGAGGCAGCCTGGCGCCTTCCCCTCTCGCAGGGGGAGAGCACAGCCTGGAGGAGACACCAGGTCTTGCTTTTGTGCCTTCAATTCCTCTTAGGAGCCTCTGTGACACAATGGTGGGCAGTCACAGGGTTGAGATTTTACCTCTGTGGACAGAGACAGACACGTTGGCTCCTCTCCGCTTAAAATAGTGCCCCAGAGTTCGGTCATCTCCTCTGGCTGCTGAGCCATAGACCTGAGGAGGAGAGCAGGTGATTTGGTTTCCCTGGTTCGGGCTGGGAGCAGATTGGGCAGGTAGTCACCAAAGGGATCCCTGAGGTGAGGGAGTGTCTCCTCAGTCCCTGGAACCTGGCTGGGGACAGGCAGAAGACATGTGCCAAAGCAGAGCTCTGCCCTGCGCGTCCCTTGCAGGAGGAGGGGGTGTGCAGGCAGCGTTTGAAGGCTGCAGTGTGCTTAGGGGCGTGGTGTTCCTGATTTAGGGCCAGGTTCCCTCTGGGGTCTCAGCCCACGAAACTGCCACCTTGCCTCAGGACACAGCTGCCTTCTGTCTTGGACCAAGACGTTCCCGCCGCGAGGCTTCTGTAGCTCTTGATGGTTCAATCATAAGTTATTTGTGCAACTTCTAACAAAGTTTGAGAATGATTCTTCATTTCATAAATTAAAGTTGATCTTTTCTGTATGGCTCAGTGATTTTTTTCTCGCAGGTGGATCTAACCTGGCTGGGTTCATGCAGTGCTGCAGGGCCACAACTCTGGTTGTATCAGAGAAAAAGGGCCCGTTCCTCTCCAGCAAAACCATGTGCTGTTTCTGCAGGGGGCAGAGAGGATCAGCACTTACCCCTGCTGCTTTGGGAGGCCTCAGGGACTAGACTGTCCTGTTCCTTCAGCTTTGGGGGACAAGGCTGGGGACAGTTGCTGGCCTGGGCGCTGTGCCATCTTCCCACGCCTGCCCTGGGAGCAAAGCTTGCTATGTTAGTTCTCAGCGAGCGCCTGGGCTGGCACCAGCTCTTCTCACACTGACAGCGGCATCACTGCCATCGCCCTCACTCAGCCAGAGCTGCCCTCGCTGCCTGCACCAGCCCTCCCTCACAGCTTCTCTATGCCTCAGCTGCCCTTGGCCCAGAATATATAATGGTTGCTGAGAAGAAAAGTCGCTTTGGGCACCACCAGTGCAGACCACAGCTGCAGCCCAGGACTCTCCACCCTCTGCTCAACCCAGGTCAGGAAGGCAATCCTGGCCCAGAGATGGTGTCTCTGTGCAGACGCTGGCCAGCAACAATTCTGCATAGGCAAGAGAAGAACACAAGTTACCTCCTTAAAAATGCAAATGGGGGAAGATGAGGCCAGGAGGCTGGAGGATTGTATATGAATGACTTTATTTAAGTACGCTGGGCACCACCAGGCAACATGGTTTGGACAGTGTGCGAGGGAACAGTCAGGCAGATCAAACAAACGCTAGATTGGAGACGGCACCTTTCTGTCCGGTCACTGCAGGTTACAAAACGGAGCGCTGCTGCTTCTGCAAGGCCAGCAGAGGGGCTGGGAGGGGGAGGAGGAGAGGAGGGGCACTGCCCGGGTGAACCCAGAGGGGTTTGCTTCTTCCCCTCTGCACGCTGCAGCAAACCAGCAAGAACGCAACTGAGGTGGTTTTTTGTTTTTTTTTTTTTTTCAGCAGAACAAGGCTGAGCATTGACAGCTCTTTTCTACCTGACAGGTTCTTGCTTAAAAAAAAGTCTGCTCTGATGGGGATAGGTGAACAAGCAGCCCGGCCTCAGCTGGGAAGAGACCACCACCCGCCTGCAGCCTCTCTGCGCCCAGTGCTGAGTGCCCAGAGCGTGGTTCCCGCAGGGGCAACACGCTGCTGCTTACATTCTCGTCTGCTGGGGCGATGCACCAGCTTTTGTCACGCCTCTGCAGCAGGCTGGCAGCAGGGCTGCAGCAGCCCCTCAGCTCTTACCCCATCTCTGCACCTGAGAGTGACCCCGAGGTGATGTGTGGCAATGAACAGAAAGGAGGGGAACAGGCAGGAACTACCACCGAGCAACTCCAGCTCCACAGCTACCGCAGAAAATTGACAGGGAGGTGGGCAAGCACCAAATAATGCATAAGAAAACCTAAAGGGGAAACAGTGGCACAGCCCAACACAAGCGGGTCTGCAGGCCTGCCCACGGCTGTAAAAGCAGAAGCAAAGCAGCCACCAGGTGAGCAGCGAGGCATGCGCAGTACAGCCCAACACAGCCATCGCGACAGCCTCCTGCCCACAAACCTGCTGCTCACACCAACATCCTGCTACAGTTTATTGTCCTCTCATTTAGTGTATTCATAGAGAACAGCGCGACTCCCTAAAGAGCAGTTACCGGGTGGTGTCGCAGGGCTGGCTGGCTGTTCCGCTAAGCACGTGCGCTGTGAATAGTGTTAGCATCGAACAACGGAGAGCTGGGTAACAGGTGTTCAAAGAAGACCCAAAGCATAATTCCCAGGTGCTGTGGTCAGTATTTGAGATATCCTCAGACATTTCAATAAATAAAACAATTCTTACATTACAATGCACCTTTCCAATTATTATTTTGCCCCAGAATGGATAAAGTACACAAGAGTTATGCCTGGCTGCGAATACATGCTCCCTTTGCCCTGACATGGCAGAAAGGGGGGAAACAGCCTCAACTCTTACAGAGAAAGAACATGAGAACTTAGCACTGTAAATCTTGGCAGGTTGAGGGGGAAACACACAAGTGCCTTCACCCCCATTCTGGGGCACTTGCTTCCAGAGGAGAAAAGGTATTTAAAACAAGGTACGAGAGAATAACCGTCTAGTACAATGATAGCTGATTAGATTTGCTTTGTTCTACTCCATGCAATACAAACTAAGTCCTATCACCAACTTCTCCAGCTGCGGTGCAGACCCACACATCAGGCTAAGAAGTTTCACACGCATACACGCACTCACACACCAAAACCAGTGGGGGCAAATGGGCCTAACTGTTGAGAATGTGCTCTCTCTTAATAAAAAATATATTAAAAACAACTTCAAAAAACTACTGATGGTGGAGACACTGCTGAAGAAGAAAGTAGCTATGGGGCCTCAGCTATGTGTTTCCAGACAATCCAGGCGTCGCAGCCGGGCTGGCTAAAGCCTGCGTGAGCAGTCTGCAGTGGTTGTCTCCCTTCTGGCTTGCTAGGCGGTTTCTATAAGCTGTTCCCTTTGTTTTTGCTTGCTTGTTTTGTTTTACAGTGACAAATGTGATTGCAATACAGAAATTAAGGGACTGAAATGAAAAAGGAATGGGCCATTCTGGAGAACTTCAGACTGGTATTTTCTCCTTTCCATTTAAAAAAACCCAACAAAAATAAAATAAAAAAAAATAAGAAGTTAGTAGTACTAATACAACCCTCCTGCTGCTGTCGTCTTTGCTCAGTGACATCGGGGCATGCTGGCGCACACACACACACACAGGCAGCTCTCAGACACTCGGACTCAGAAAAGCGAGTTTAGAACTGAAGTGAGTCTTCGGAGGAGACTGAGGACAGGTCCCGGGGCTAGAAGCTTTTTCGTTGGATGGCACGAGCTCCGTCTTCTTCATATTCCTTTTTCGAAACCCACATTTTCTTAAAGGTGTCCAGTGAGGCAAGGATAGAGCCACTGGGGAGAGACAGGCGTATTACGGGTTAAAGGAAAATGTTGGGGGCACTCTCATCCTATCTCTGCAGAGATGAGCAGTTTCTACTGCATGACACTTCCCCCATGTCAGAAAGGTGCTGAGGCTCCAGTTATCTGCAACAGAAATGCCCTCTGGACAGTCACTTCCCCTCCTGTTAGCCTCAAATGTGCCAGCGCTACAGAACCTGGTACCAGCCACCCTGTCCCAAACGACCTGCTGATTGCTGCTCGTCAGACGGGATCTGGTCTCACTTTCTAGAATCGTGAAGCAGAGTTTAGTTCTCCTGATCTGCAGCAAAGACATACACAAGGGGGAGAATGTACCTAGAGCCTCTGCCCTAAGAAACATACTACCTGTGAGCTTGTTCTACCTTAGTTTGGACGTTAAGGCTGGTAAGACAAGGAAAATCACCAGGTCCTGCAGGTCCCTTAAGGACGGAAAGGGCCAAGGGGCTGGCAGTGCAGATGGAGTCAGGCTCAGTAACCACACTGAGCGCTGCGCAGCTGAATGATGAAACCCTCCCGACACACCGCACCAGAGGGGACAACAGCGCGAGTGCCAGACTGCGCCTCCCCAGCCCTCATCCCACAGCAAGACCTGTCACTGTGCAGGACATACCCAATCCACGTGGAATACAATCTCTCCTGAGGAGCTGATATCTGCGAGAAAGAGAGAATGAGTCAGTACCTTCCCAAGCTCCAGTGTGCTCCTCCTGCCATGCTGCCCCCGTTTCACTACAGTTGACAAACACAGGTATGATCTCTCCCACTAGAAAGACACCCAGCAACACCTGCCTCCCCCTGGCCCCAAAATAGCCACCATGGACAGGGGTCATGTTGTCAGAGGAGCCACCTTCTCTGTGGTGAAACCAAACGGGTTTTCAGGTTTTCATCACAACAGCAAATACTGTTGGGCTGTCTCAGGAAAGCTGTTTCGGTTTTGAAGCAAGTGACAGCTGGACTCTCAGCGTGGTTCTTTAAAGGCCACAGAAAAACACACACAGTAAGTGACAAACACAAAAGATACGGCTCCTACCCTTATTTTAACGTCCTTCGGAGCTAGTTTCTTCACTTCACTCAACAGCCTGTCACCAAAGCCTACACAAGACAGAAAATGTGTAGTCTGAGTCCCTCAGCAAAATCCCAAGTTCCATCTACTAACAATGTGTCCGTGTCCTATGCAGTGCTAGTCAAATATCCCACTCCAGATCTCACAGAGAGACCAGTTTGGAGAGGCACAGAACTCAGCCAGTGAGATAACAGGATTCTGTCCCCCTCAGGTGGACCTCAAACACTGGCACAATGGGTGTTATTCCTCAGCAGCAACTTGAGATGAGCAAACAAGATTTTTAGCCAGGAACACAGGTGGGCCAGTTCCCTCCTCCTTCCCTGGGCATTCCTCCTGTGTCCAGACCAATTGTATGGGGGAACAGGGTTTGAATGGGAAGACCAGGACTTCTCTGGAGATGTCCACCTGTGGATAATAGGCTGACAGGTTCTGGCAGAGGAGATCTTTAAGTGGATGGGGGCCAGCTCAGCCCTGAGGGGATGGGTAGAAAGTTTTCTGCAAACATGCAGCTGACCTTTCCTGCAGTACCAGGACTGTTAGACTCTCTCAGGTACCAAGGACCTAAGGAACCTCAGGAGATGCAAGAGCCTTTCAGGCATCTAGTCTCAACTATCCTGAACAGAGCAGCAGAAATGAGCTATTCAGTCCTGACTCAGGCAGAGTGATAGGAGGAAAAAGATAAAAGGCCCCCAAGCCCAGGAAGTGATATACACGGGCAGAGGTGTCTTGCTTACCCAGAAGGGTATGACTAGGACTCAGGAAATTAGACAATACCCCCCCACACCCCAAGAGAGCAGAGTTCCCACAGTCCTTATCTCACAGGACAAGTTGGGTGATCTAAGTTATCCTCCCAGTTTCACATGAGAAGGGGGCAAGAGATTAGGTATGTCACAGCCCACTAGAAGAGGAGAGGTAGGAACCTTTGAAAAGCGTGGAGCCTCCAGACAGCACAATGTTGGAGAACAGCGTTCGCCTCAGGTCCATGTCTGATTTTTGAATGGCAAAAACGAGCACCTCGTGGAGTCCTTCACATTCCTCCCCTATCAGGTCTGGCCGGAACAGGAGCTCCGGGGCTCGAAAACGGGCAGGGCCAATCTGCAAGGGATCACAGAAGGAAAGAGAGAGCAGTGTGGCTCTGTTCACTGTCTGCAGTTTGGGTCTGCCTTTCTTAGGTGAAACTTGAGAGCAACAAAGTTTCCTGGACATTTGCGCTGCATCACTAGCTCCCAAGTGAACATCAGTTTGGTCTACTGCTCCTAGAAAAGGTGCTATTTCCATTTTGCAGATGAAAGATGAAGAAACTTGCTCAGCCCCAACACAGCAGGCCACTAGCAGAAAAGGAAGCAGATCCACCCCTGGTGCTGGAAGTAAGACCTGTATTTCCTCTCCTTCAACAATTCCATAGTGGGCTCAGTCTTTTTTGAAGAGTATTCCTTACTCACTCTTCAAAGCAATTGTTTCTGCACCTCTAGGCAGGACAAAAGTCACATACAAAACCACTGCTGAAACTACCCACACTCTGTTCCCGATCTGCATAAAGATGTGCTAGATCAGAGCCTGCACTCAAACAGCTCAGAGTCCCCGTGGTCATACTGTGTCCTTACCCAGGACTTCCAGTGGAAGTTTTGAGGTTTATAATAAAATTTTCTTCCTGTAAAAATTATACTGCCCAGTCAACAGCCTGAGATGAGTTCTACCGTTTAAAAATTATCCCCTCCCACCTAACACCACATTAAATTTCCCATCACTAGGCAGAAGGCTACTCTGGAAACCCCGTGCTTCACATCAGGAATCCTCCAAGGGTGGGCCTTACAAACCTCAATAGTACTTCCATCTGGCAGGTAGTACTGAGCCTTCTCGGTCTCCAGAGTCTCATCCTTCTGGGGGTTTATTGACAGGTAGCAGGCACGCTGGAGAGGAAAGAGTCAGGGAGAGGGAGATGAGAAGGGTAAACCCAAATGCCTCTGATAAAATACCTTCCTCGCTAACAACCAAAATCATGTATCCCTTTGGGGAGAGCAATTTCAACAATATTTTGAACTGGGGAAAAGACCTTTTGGGTTCACATCAGGCAAAATATCATTCATGCTACAGCTCCATGTGATGATTAGAGACACCAAGGATGCTCACACCCCCTCTCGCTGCTGCTCACCTCTTGCTTCCAAGCTCTCTCTTACTGCTTAGAAGTTACATCCCTCTAGCGCAGATGGGGTAACTATCCTGTGAGCGCTTCCAACCTACCGTAGGGCAAAGTAAAACATGCACCTGAAATACCTTTAGTGACATTAACCTTGTATAAAGGTGCACTCAGGTAACTTCACAACAGATTAGGAGCGTGAACAAAGTCCATTATTGCTTTTCAACAACATAAATGATAACTAATAGCTAACAGCAAAAATTTCTTAACATGATCTAAGCTGCTCACTTCCCATTGCCCACCTGCATTTCATGTTACAGGAAACAAAATACTTTGATTTTTCAAACTGCTCCAGCACCCCATATTTTTCATTCCACAGTAGGCTTTGCTATTCCAAATTTTTATAATTTAGGGATTAAAAAAAAAAATCTAAACAAAATCACCAAAACATTTAGGTTGGAAGTGGCCTCTCGAGATCATCTAGTGCAAGCCCCTTGGCTCAGGCAGGTCAGCTACAGCCGGCTGCCCAAAACCACATCCAGTCATGTATGGATTACCTCCACAGGTGGAGAATCTACAAACCTCTCTGGGCAACCTGCTACAGTGTTTGACTGCCCTCACAATAAGCCAAAAAACCAGAGAACAATGTTTGCAGTGAAGCAGATATAAGTAAGGGTTCCCCTTTTAAGGTAATTTCTCCTGTGAACTCTTCAACATCCCCACATTTCTTTCCTATTTTTTTTCCCCTTTTAAAAAAAACCCAAAAATCGGAAGTCAGACAGACTACAACAGATCACAAGCAGCTTTTGGGACTGAGAAACTCCCATGTCCAGGATCTCAGCTTTGTGCTTGCCATGGTGCATTCAGACTGCATATCCAAACTTTTCCCGAGGCACAAAAGTTGCATACACAAGAAGCCACACTCAGCTCCTCAGATTTGCAAATCAAGTGACAAACAGCACTAGCATCAATGGAAATCTCACTGCAAAGTCCAGGCACACATATCCCCACCTAAAATTAATCTTAAAATAAAGCAAAAGGTGTAGGTTTGGAGAGTGAACAGCAGGTTGTTTCCTCTCTTCTTTGGCAGTCTCACTGGTGAGGGTAGTCAGCATGCAAAGCAGGACTTGGCTCACTTTCTCCTGCTCTTTGTTTCCCTAAGCATATAGTCCAGAGAAAAGATTGCACCGGTGCAAGACTTTGCACTTAACAGTCAGCACAATGCCCTTTAATAGTTTCACCACCCAAGATGCAAAGGGAGCCTTGGCCATTTATGAAAAGTACAGGTATACTTCTGAAGAGTACAAGCCTCTTGCTTTGTCCCATAAGGTCACTGCAATCGCACTGCAACTGATGCTTGGTACAACAAAACAGGGTGCTTCTGAAGCAAGAAATTCTCCAGCACGCCTCCGACCACTAGATCTTCCGGTTTGCAGTATCTGCACGTCAGGTTTTCTTCTCCCATTCAGCAATCAACTCTTGTAGAACAGAGAGCAGCTACTGGGTTAAAACCTACAACCCTATGAAGTCTCCTGCAAGGGAACACGCAAAAGCCATTCAGCTGTACCATGACACGAAGCACAAGCACTGCTCCTTCAGCACAGCCACACCGAACCATGGCCATGCAGAACAAGCAAACTAGTTCCACTGTGGTCCTTTGCCAGTAGGTCACAGGCTCAAGAATAGCTCACTAACGCTCTCAAGCCATAGCACAGGCTGCTGACTCAGCCCAGAGTTATCTGTGGCAACCATAGCTTGTGATGGGGGCCCACAGCACGGCAGCAACTGCCAGGCATTAGCACACAGAAGTCACAGCCAGTACTGATCTGAAGACTGACCCCATATACTGAAGGCATGGATGCGTAGGCAGCCTGGAGTCTCAGCCTTGCTGAAATCGGAGAGCAACCAGTCTCTGTGAACACGGCGATGCTGCAAAGCTGATGTGAGCAGGCACCAGCTCTAAGCTGTCCCACCTCTCTCCTCTCTTGGCACACAACAGAAGCCAACGTAACTGCTTTGCTAGGGGTCTTAATCGTGCCCTTCCAAACTGCTGCATAACTCTAAGGTCACTAAACACTGCAGACCCTATAAAGAGGGGAATTTTTTGTAAGCGTGAATGCTGCAAGTGAATTCTTTCACAGAGGGAGGCAGGGGAAAGCAACTTGCAATATCCCACCCGTGATCCCTGCCTGCCATGGATTTTACAGAGCCTTGCCCTGAAGGGTAAACAAACACTAGTGAAAGGTATCATCAAACCCTGAGAAACCACAGCACAGATAAATGCAAAACAGATTCTGTCTTTATCTCCATGTTAACAGTGCCTCAATAGGTATTAGATGTGACCTTGACTCTAAGTCTCCCAGAATACAGGATGGTTGAGGTTGCAAGGGACCTCTTGGAAGTCAACTTGTCCACCCGCCTTGTTCAAGCAGTGTCACATGGAACTGGCTGCTCAAGACCATGTCCAGATGGCTTTTGAATATCACCAAGGATGGAGACTCCACAACTCTCTGGACAGCCTGTACCAGTGCTTGGTCACCCTCACAGTAAAAGAGATTATGTTCAGACAGAACCTCCTGTGCTTCAGTTTATGCCTCTTGTCCTGCCACTGGACACCACTGAAATGAGCCTGCCTCTGTTTTCTTTGCACCCTCCCTTCAGACACCTATATACATTGATGAGATCCTCCCCAACCTTCTTTTCTCGTGGCTCAACAGTCCCAGCTCTCTCAGCCTTTCCTGATATGAGAGATGCTCCAGTCCTTTACTGATCTTAGTGGCCCTAGCCTCCCTCAGGCAGATAGAGGAATGAGGTGCAGAGCTAGGTAGGCTGGCACTTCCCACTAGATTTCACAAGTCACAACTTCCCTTGGGCAGAATTCCCTTCTTGAATTAAGACAGAAACAGACAGTGCATCACCTCCTTGATGGTCTTGACAATCTCAAACTCAGAGGTTGTGTGGAAGTCATAGCCTTCCTTCCGGAGATAGAGACGCAGGAAGCGTGAGACATCACGGCCAGCAATGTCAATCCGCATGATGGAGTGAGGCATGGCAAAGCCTTCATAGATGGGAACCGCATGGGTAACGCCATCCCCGGAGTCCAGCACCACTCCTGTAGTCCTCCCAGTTGCGTAGCTAGCAAAGAGGCAAATAACCAAGTCAGAACAAGCAATTCAAAGTGACCCCAAGCATGCAGCACATCCAAGCTCAACTCAGGGAGCAGAGATGTCACGTGAACAGGGGCTAAAAAAAAACAACCCCAAAACTGGTTCTCATCATAGTTCAGAAAATTCCTGTAAACACCTGAAATTCAATTTTAATTTCTGTAATAAGTTCTTGCTCAAAAAGGGGATAAGTCAGACATCACCGTGGTCTTCCACGTTGGATTTTTTTTTTGTTTCTGAAAAAGTGGATTTCATAGCAACATTTCACAAGCCCAAACCAAATATGAAAGACACTTACAGGCTAAGCACAGCTTGCATGGAGATGAATAGCGCTGGCACATTGAAGGTCTCAAAAAACACCTCAGCAGCACGCTCTCTGTTCTTGCGTGGGTTTAGGGGTGCTTCTGTCAGCAGTACAGGATGCTGGTAAAGAAAACAAGGAGCTGTGCTGCAATAACCAGGAGGCAGCTAGACATGTGTTCCTGAAAATTTCTGCTTATTTATTCACTTTAGGAACCGCTGGTGCAAGAGGACAGGTAGAAGGGAATAATTTCAGCTACTGAGCTGTATTAGACTGTGAATAACTCCTATTCAGTTGCAAGACCAGTAGGGTTCTGGTCTAGTTACAAAGAAGTGTTAGGAAATCTACTTTGTGAGTGACCCTGTTCTGTGAAGGATAAACAAAGTGACTCTCAGTCAGCCAGATTAGCCAAAATACACAGACCCTAAGAAAGGGTGAAGGCATATGCTCTTAGCACAAACAGGCAAAATATTCCTACTTCACTTATACAACCTATTGCTCTCAGTCATTTCATAATTTTTTGGTCAGCTCCTTCCAGACCACAGGATTGTGGTTTTCTCCTTCCTCACTTCAAATCATGTCACTGCTAAGTGGATATGCTTGATGCACAGGCAGAACAGGAAAAGTTAGAAGCACTTGGCCTAGAGCAGAATCATTAGAGAGAGCATGAATAACAAAATCTGAAAGTCAGATTTTCAGTCAGGCCAGAACATTAGATCTGGGGAGGAATTCTGCTTGGATGCTTCTTGTGCAATATCTCCTGAAAGAGCCTAATTTAACAACAGACACATTTAGGAAGAAAAGCAAAGGAAGAGTCCCAAATCTTCCCTGGAGTTCCAAGACTCTTGGCCTTATATACACATTGAATGATGCCTGTGCCATTACAAAATGAGGTATCTCACCTCCTCTGAGAATGTCTGAAGCTGGTCTTTTGAATACACATACTGCCAAATGCGCTCCATGTCGTTCCAGTCCTTCACTATGCCATGCTCCATCGGGTATCGGATCGAGAGGAGACCTCTGTGCTCCTGAGAAAACAGAAGGGACAATAGAGCATACCTATCAGACTCAAACAGTCACATTTCTGAGCACCATGACTATCATTTAATGTCAGACACACTTTTTGATTCCACTAAAAGACAATTTATGTCTAGCATAAAGGGAAAAAAAAAAAAAGAACATTAATCACAAACATCTCTCCCAGAGAAGTATCCACAAGATTAAACGAGGCCTTTTTATACCAGGTAGGAAAGTCTGGCATTTGCAGACCACATTCCATTCTAACACTTTTCAAGCCAACATACGGACACCTATCAAATGGTATCGTTGTTCTACAAGCTCAGTCATGATATAACACATAACAGGGTGGTATTCGGAAAGATAGTTTGGAGGGCTCACGAGAAATGTGAGACTATATGACTACATGCTGACAAAAGCAGGACTGTGGAAAGCAAGCTTCTTGTCCACACCAGGGAGATAAAAGGCAACCAAGTAGGGTCCATTTCTAAAGTTCCCAGTCAAAAAGATGGGGATGTAACCATACAGACTTAGAAGTAGCCTAGAAAAAAAAAAAAGGAGAGATACAGAAAGACTTGGAAAAAAGTCTGTGGTCAGCAGACTGGTACAAGAATTTAATGAAGCTTCCCACTCCACCTTGGACACACTTAAAAGCAACAATCTATTCTGCTCTTCAGCTCTATATGCTGATATCAAGGAACTACAGCCCTTTTGAGCACAATTGCTACAGCCCTTCCTTACAGCAGCATACCGAGATATATGGAAAAGTGCAGTATACAGGTTTTCTTACCTCTGCCTTCGGGCCAATGAAAATGTCCCCTTCTAAAGCACCAGCCATAACACGAACATGCTTTGGTCTGCCCACGCTGGAACAGAAGCAAGAGTATGAATGCTTCTACAGAGAGAGCCCAGATGCACCCAAGGATTAACTACTCCGTGTTCCTCTCTGTCCTAACCAGTACTTTCGAAAACAATCGGCAAATCTGGGGGCACTACTAGGTGCAGACAGACCCACATTTGCTCTGAGCTACTCTCAGAATCAGAGGTGAAGGGAACAGGTCGTAAACAGTTCTGAATTGGCAGGACATAAGCCAGGTGAGTCTGGCCACACTTTCCTTGATGATTCAGGACTTATTTGTTCCAACAGCGCCCGAGGTGAACATGGCTAGACTGAGCAATGGTCTGAGCTGACAGATCCACATGATGTTCCCTGACCTCAGGTAGGCTTCTCAGATTAGACATATATAGTCCCATACCCCACCTCAGCATACAGAACACATTGCTCATAACACAAACACACTCATTAAACCCCCACACCATTGAAAATAAAAGCCAGTGACTATTCAGAGTTCCTGACCCAGCAGTCCTTCTTTCAGCAAAACTCTTAGAAAACTTCCAATGAAAAAAAATACACAGGTCTTCACACCTCTCATCCCAACATTGTCTTTTTCCCAGTTCTTTTCCTAATGTCTCAAGACTAAAGGATCCTACAGCTTTGGTTGGGTGTTGACCCTATCAAAGTGATGTAATCTTTCATGCCCGCCCAGAAAATCTCGAAGTGCTTAATAGCAGAGATCCCCTCTCCCTGGTCCTTCTGTGCAGCAGGCAGAAAAAGAGTAACTCATTTCTCCAGTTAGAAAATTGGACCATTCTTCCCGTCTACATATCACAGAACTGGTACACAGTAATAAGAACTTATCAAGACCAGCAGAATACTTACTAGTTTGGAAAGCAGTATTTCGGTATTTGATCGCCTGCAAAACCTGCTTTAATCACACCTGAGCCCTGTGGAAACAACAGATAAATACACGAGCTTATCATTCATTCAGTCACCTTCATAAGTTTTAAAGGAGTAGCAAAGTACATCAGCGCTGCCAGATCCTTTCCTTTTTACTAGGAATAAAGCTCCCCAGGGACTGAGCCCCCAGGCAGGCTTGGGGATGGGAAGGTGCCAGCAGGCCAGCTTGGCCACTAGAGGGGAGTAACTGGCACCCTTCCTGGCAGCGACACATCTCACACAGCACAAACACTCAGGAACATCCTGGTACTGCTCTGCAAACACACTCAAATGACGCTCTGTATAGGCAAGTATTCTTCCACCCAGTGGTATTGCTAGGGGTGCAGGAGGTTAAATCCAAGCTCTGCAGCTTTCTATCCATCTTAAATACTCTCTGGGTGGAGAAGAGCACTCCAGAAAGCCGAGCAAGAGCAACCTAACCCTGCCAGCTTCAGAGGCCACTGCTAAACGGGGGAGGATGAAGGCTGTAGGCCTCTTGGAAGCAGCAGATTTGGAAAGGATCGCAGGAGGGTGGATTAAGTCAGAGAAGGGAGTAGGAGGACTGTGTGAAACAGGCTGGAGCAGAGACTAGGGAAAAGAAGATCAGGTGGTGGATAAACTAGCTAACACTAAGAAGGCAGGGAGCAGAAACGCGGTCAGAAAAGACACTGGAAATGAACCCAGACTGGGGTCTGGGCAAAACAAAGGTTGCAGTCAGACTGCAAGGGGAAGGACTGGAGGCATGAAGAGCAGCCGACGGGATAGGGGGGGATTAGAAGGGACAAGGAAGAAGAGATTAGGTATGGCAGTCAGAAAGGCACAAATCCAAAAAGCCTTCTGCAACACTCATAGCAGCACAAGCAGCAAACACAGAGCGGGTAAAACCAGCCGCAGGGAGGCCCTGGCAGGAAGTCAGTGCCGGGCATCTGGCCCCACAGCTCTCATCCCCATTGGTATCATCCGGAGGCATCCTGGGAACCCCAAGCATCAACTTGGATCTGTGCTGACTCCTTCCCCTACTCCATTTCCTCTCCCTGCACAAGGGAATGACATCTTGAAACAATGAGCAGCTTGCAGGAACACCCAAGTTTTGCTAAGGAGCGGATTTTCACAGGATCTCCTCAGATAAGCTGTTTTACTGGTAATCCCAGACTACCATGGGAGCAAGCTTTTCTGCAGAAAGAGGAGCAGTTCTGCTTCATCCTGTACTGGGAATAAAGCATGCAACTTTTCACTGAAACCTGTGACCTGTGAAGTGCCTGTTCACTCTCAAGGGCTCTGCAGCAGGACTGCTCTGGTTTTGAGGCCAAAAAGACATTTTGGATGCCCCAGAGCATTCTAAAATGAGTAGTGACGCAATTCCTTCCCCGCTTTCCCCTCGCCTCCACCTCTGCGTGGGTCAGCATCACTGCTTTCACTTGGAGGCTGAGGCCAAATGAGTTGCTCAGAGCTCTGGAGACAAGCTCTGGCTGCAGCGGTTTCTGATGGTGCCATCCCAGCCGCCCGCCCTGTTCCAGCACCAGAGGTTACCAGCCAGAGCAGGCTCAGCAGAAAGGAATGCAGGGCGGCCTCAGCCTCTCCAGTTCCCAGTCCGGCGCCTTATTCCCAACCTACTCTGATCAGCAGTTTCAGCCAAGGTGCCGGGCTTTGCACAGAGCACGTGTGCTCTGCCACCAGGGCCGGGGCACTCCTGCCTTAAAACCGCCAGTCAGATTTGCCAGGATGCATCTGTAAGATACGAGTATCAGGAAGACTCTGCAAACCAGACCTCGCTAGTTATAAAAGATATAAAAGATAGATTGCTCAAATCCTGGTCTCCTGACAGACAACTGCAGCCAGGCTGGCTCCAGGAGCACACCCAAGCTGGTAGCCAGGTAGGACTACTCCCTCCGGGCAAGAGGGACTCTGCTCCAGTTGCATCCCAAAGTCTGCACTAACGGGCACCAGTGTGACAAAGTGGCCTGCAAAGTGTTAAAAAGATTTTGCCTTTAGACAGACTCTCTTCTGGCTATTCACTTCAAAGGGAAGCAAGGAAAAAAACAAAAGCACTATTTTGTTTTTCCTTATCATAGCTTATAAACAACTTTATACCTGGGAAATAATACCAACCTTTGTCAAGCCTTGTAGCAAAAAAGTTGAATCAAACGCCGTAACGTAACCACATCAGAATACTGCGCTTATTGAATATTTTAAAGATAATGACTGATCTTGCTGCCAGCACAGTCTACTGCTGGGAAGTGGTTTCAGGAGAACAATGATGCTCCTATTTTAACGCAGGGATCGAAACTTCCTTATGCCAAGCCAAAAATTACCCAGCATATCCTGGTGAGATTCCCAGCAAGTTATGCATTTTAAAATTTAAAAATTGAAGTTCAAAGTTAACCAGAAGTGTCAGTAGCTCAGAAATCCTAGCTGGAGTCAAAGACAAATGACTGTTTTCAATGTGCTGGTAGGATGGGACTTCACCACAGTTGTGCTTCCAAGTGCATGGGAATAAACCGAGCACAGCTGTTCGCTATCTCTACACTACAAAGACCTAACAGCACTTATTGACCTATTCAATTTTTCTTGAAAACATTTTACTTCTTTGAAGATACGTGTGCACTGAGTAAATCTATTTGTTATAGTAGCTTAGTTTGAGATTCCTATACAACGAGGGGAAAAGGTTTGTTTTGAAGTAACCTTGGCTGATTCAGAAGGTTTAAAGTAAAGACCATTTTTTTCACCTTTGTTTCAGATAAGCAAAAACACATGCATCCTCCTTTCTGCTATAAACTTTGATTTATTAAAACTTACAACAATTTAGAAATTAACCTCCCTCCGCCTGTAACTATCCTGGCTAGGCTTTCATCCTATTTTGTTTGGGGTTTTTGTTTTGGCTTTTTTTTTTTTTAATCTGAGCAAAAATAAAAGAAAAAAAACTACATGTCAAATGTAAAGGTCAAGAAAGATAAACACAACGTAAATTGTTGTGAGTACCCTGAAGTAACAGAACATGCCTCTTCCGCTAGCTCTGTAGCTAGTCAGTTCAGTTATTGATTCATTCATCTTTATGCATTTAGAACTCAAATTTAAACAGAAATCACCAAGAAAGTCAATCTGCCATGTAGTACTTCTTGTGGAGAGTGCACGTTTCATATCGTTGTAGAACTATTTTATTAGATACACATTTTATAAGATCAAGAACAAACCAAAGACAATAGTCTTCGCTGACAGCTCAGCTGCTTAAAATGCCACCACTTAGACTACAAAGCCAAATTTTACCCTCTTTTATGTAAACAGAGGCAATTCCATGGAGGTCAAGGAATTTGCACTTGCTTAGGCCACAGCTGAACCATCCTTTATATTTACATCTGCATTACATTCATCAGGGCTCCCAGACCATTTGCTGCAGAGAGAGCTTGTTGGAGTGGGAACACAGCTCTTCAAAATGACTTATTGGACAAGGAGGAGTATTAAGGTCGTGTTGAGGTACAGCTCCAGTCTCTCACTGTACATTACAAAACTCTCCCTGCTGAAAACATGCAGCTGAGCGTACTGTTTGGTAAGAGGAAAAAAAAACTCCTTGTTGAGATTTTAGCTACCTACCTTAATGTCCTTTTGGAACACACCAAGAAACTAGAGCAGAGCTGGGACTCGGGGGAGCTGGGGGGATCTGCCTTGTTCACCAGCACAGTACCTCACTGCCCCCTCCCATCCACACGCATACATGAGACGGGATAACATTCAGCCTTGAAACGCTGCCTGCAGCTCTCTGAGGAGAAGCGCTAATGAGGCAGTAGGACCAGCGGTACCTGCTCTGTGCAGCTCCGCTTCCCATCTTGCCTGAACTGAGAAGAGTACCAAAAATGCAGTGTCACCACGAGGCTCCTCAGCTGACAGCCTGCCAGCATTAAAGGCAGATGTCACAACAACTGCTTCATTCTACTTCTTGTACAGGAAGGGAAAGGGAGGGGACTCATTTATCAGAGACAAGAAGAATTAGCTTTTATAAGACCAGCTGATAAAATGAGAAAAGAAACAGAGTCAACTGCCGGCACATGAGCCCTTCTTCAGGTCTGAAGCAGGGGCAGCGATCATTGCGCTAAATAACAAAAGGACAGGCTGAAATTAGATACGGGCTGCTATTATATGACTTCAGCACAACAAACTCATCCTCACAGTACCAGAATGCCTGGAAATAACTTGAACGGTTAGCTAATCACTCGACACCACAGCAGGGTCAGTACTACCCCAGTAATTTCTAAGAACAATCAACCTAACTTATTCTTTAATGTCTCCAATGAGTAAGATAACGTGTTTTTCTCCACATAGTCTATTCTGCTTAATCTCCTTTTCCATTAGATATTTTCCTTCAATGTCTAACCTAAACCCCTCTGCTGTGATTCCAGGGGAAGAACCAAAACTGTATCAGAGAGCTCAAGTTGTAAAGAGGAAATTGGGATCTATAATAAAGAAGGGGTCAGAAGAATAATTGGCTTGAACTGAGGAAACCTACAATCATCCACCTTATGGGAAAAAAAAAGGCAAGCGGCTGAGAGGCGCAAGGCTAGCAAGTCCGCATGCCATATGGCAAAAAGATTCTGCAGAAATTAAGATGATGGAGAAAGAAGGGAGGACAACACCGACCCTCTGAAACAACAAAATCTGAATCATTGGCGGTAGTGGTCAGAAGGTAGGAGGAGCGTGAATTTCTGACTCACTACACTGAAGGAGGCTCCCTCCAAGATATACCCTCCCACCCCTTCCTGGATGGTCCTTTCTCTCGGGAGGCCAGCATGGATGGGACTGATCAGAACTGGACCCAGAAGTATCTCATTCACCTCAAACTGATGAGCTAAATCTCAATTACCCACACAGGTTGAAGGTCGGCTTCGAGCTAATGAGAAGCATTATCAGCCAGGAGCAGCCATTTACGACACCACACCCCGCTGTCAAATTCCAGCTGATGCAACCCGCGCTGGGAGCAGTTCCTGGAGGAGCTCTGCCTCCTGCGGCCTTCGG